TGGTCACATAGAATTCATTACGTCTAGATACTCAAAGGAAAATTAGAACATAAACATGTAGAAACTACAATTACAAAAGAGAGAAATTAAAGAGTTTGATTCCATTCTCCAGTCGTTACTGACTTCTTCTTTCTCCAGCCTTTACTAGGTTTCTGTGCCAAGTTTTCTTTTATATAAGTGGTCCCATAGCTTATCTTGTCGCAGAAGTTTAATTCTGACGTAAGTTAAAAGTACACGCCCTATGTACACGGCTATGTACTTTGGCAGTGTACATTTCTGGTCTCTAAAAATTACTCTTCACAGCTTTTCTGGGAAGTACAGGCTCATGTACACGGCTATGTACTTTGACCGTGTATATCTCTGGTTTGGATGATGTACTTCAATTGATGCGATTAGCTAGATACACACCCATATACACGGGCGTGTTGTGTACATCTCTGGTTCTGATTTTGTGCTTGATTGATTCAACTAGTGAGTTACATGCTCAGATACATGGGTAAGGATACACGGCCATGTACTTGCCCGTGTATATCTTTGGTTCCGATTTTTGCTTCAATTCTCACTATCCTTTAAAGCTTTCACTTCTTGATCCTTTCTTTCCTGAAATATGAACAAAATGGACTTAATAATAAATTTTCTCAATGAATAACTCAAAAATCTCAATTATCATTCATGAATTACATTATAAGACCAAGTGTGGAATGAATTTATCATTATTGGTTGTGTAAACACCAAAATTTTGATTTAAAATTTTTTATTTAAAAAAAAATCTGAATTCTAATATTACAAAAGAAGAATGGAATCAAAAGGTTTTAAAGAAAAAAATAAAAATTTGTCTTAATAAAATAGGAAAATTTCAGAATTAATTTTTAAAAAGGAAAATAGAACATGACAAATAATTAAACTCTTGAACCAATGCTACTTTATACATAAAAAGGGAAAAATTCAGAATTTTTGGCCTTTTGTGAAAACCCTAGCAATAAAAGAAAAAAGAATCATGGATCAAAGGAGGCTAAATTTTTTTTTGAGAGGAGACATTCTTAAACTTGGAGAGAAAAAGAGAAAATATAGAGAAAGGAAGGTTAGTGAGAAGGAAGAAGAACAAGAGGCAAGCAAAAATTTTCAAGAACATCAAGTAAGCTTCATCATACATTTTATACATTTTTCTTCTTCATACATATTTATATTTTGAATAAACATTTCCTATATCAAATCAATCCCAAATGACAAAAAAAAAAAAAAAAGTTTCAAACCACCACTTCAAACATTCATGTCTCACCACCTCTCCACCCATTCCTCCATCTATCATCATCCACAAACACAAAACTCACCATAAAAAACTCTTTCCCTACCTTGTCTCATTCCTCTTCCTTTTGCTCTCAATAACCTTCACCACTCAAAACTATGGCCTCCATTAACCTCATCTCCACCCTTTCATAACTTTTTTATTTTTCTTGGAGAAAAGCACACCCCTAACCCTAAAGTCCTTCTCTCTCAAATATGAAAATTTAAAATTTGGGACCATTTTATCCTTTTTTTTTATTTTTTATTATTTTTTTGTCTGAATTTTTTTATTTATTTTATTTTTATCATTATTTAGTTCAACATATAATTTATTGTTTTAGTTTTATTTATTTATCCATCATCATTATTATTTGTTATTATGATAATTATTAATTTATTTAATGAATGAATTCTTATTATTTATTTTTATTTTTTTATGTTAACCTTGTTTAAATTATTTTATTTTATTTTATTTATTTAAAATCTCTTGATACCGTTTACTTTACAATATCATATTTGAGTTGGTTTTTTTTTTTTATCTCATTTTAACATTAACAATAAATTATTTTCTTTTTTATATTTCATTATTTATATCTTACTTTTTAGGATTGTTATATTTTATTTTATTTATTGTATATTTGTATCATATTAATGCGATTTAATTTTATATTTATGATTACTTTATCTTATATTGTGAATACTAAATTACTTTTTTTTTGTATAATTAATTAATAAATAATAATATAATTGTATCAATTTATAATACTAACGTATAGCTTCTCTATCGTCATGTATTATAAATTGATAAAGTCTATGTGTACCTACGTTACCAAGACTTTATGCAATATTAATTTATCATATATTGTCATTAATTAATTAGTTAACCACTTTAATAATAATGCAAGATGTATTTCTCTTCTAAATACTAACTTACAAATCAATCAACTAATTTAAATCTAAATTATTTTATTAAGAAGCAATTTATAATGCTAATGTGTAGCGACTCTACCTTTATGCATTATAAATTGTCAAAATCTATGTGTACCAACGTTACCTTAGGTTTTACATAATATAAATCTATCAAATAAATTTTTTAATATTTTTATTAAATGAGTATCTTCTTTATTCAATTCAAATAAAATTATTTTTTATTAAAATAGAATTAATTTCATATTTTAAATTTTCTTAAGTCATATTTCAAATTTTGTTAAATTAAATTACTATAATTTCTTCATTTTATAAATTTCTATAATATCGATGTGTAATTTACATTGCTTTCGATAGTCTAATAAATTATAAGAGGTTTATGTATATCTTACGCTATCTTAAATTTCTTTCAATATTAATCATAATTAAAATTAAAATTCAAATACTCCATTTACGAATAAAATATTTCTTAACGATTTGCAATATAGTTGTGTGATTTTCCTTTACTTTCTGTATTGTTTCTCGTAGGGTACATGTATAACCGCGTTATCTTGTATCTTAAACATTATAATTTTATGAAAATAATTTTAATCTCAAAATAAATTTTCTTTACTAAACTTAATTTTAATTAACCAACCTCATAATTTTTTAGATAGAACTACGTGGCTTTGAGTTCCCCATTGCACCCGGGGATACGTAGGAGTGGAAACCGAACCCGTCAAGTCAAAATAATTTTTAAAATAACCCAAATAATATTTCAATAAATAATATTTCTTCTTTTAAAATAAAATAATTAATGTTTAGGGATTAAATAAATATTTTTCAAAATTAGAATGAATTTGCACAATTAATTTTAGGTAACCGCTTTTAAACGGACGTTGTAGGGTGCTAATACCTTCCCTACACGTAAATGACTCCCGAACTCATTTTTGGTTTCAAAGATCGTATTATATTTAAGCTTTTTCCAAGTTTTTTTTTTTCTTAAAATAAACTTTGGTGGCGACTCCTCTGATATTTTGAACAATGTTTATTTTTCGCTGTACCGTTGCGATCGTCCGATTGCGACAGGTTTGAATTTTTTTGCATCTTTAAGACGTTGAGACAACTTTCTATGACTAACCATTGTTAAAGGCACATCTAGAGGTCTATCAGTAGGATTTTATTTTAGAAACTCTTGATCCTTCCACATTATATAAGAATTAAGGTATGTAAGGTCCTGTACAGAGTGTCTTATCTTAGAATTTTTTTGAATTATATTTTAAAAATATTTTATTAGCAGAAGAGTATCCCTACTTTCCTTCTTATTACTATGCTCCTGATCCTTATTTACTAAATTATTATTGGATAGTGATTCTAATTGTTGGAATCAAGTTAAGTGTGAATAAAGTCCCACATGGGATAAGATATGGGCAAGTTAAGATGTTTCATTACCTTAAGATTTTGGATATTACCTTAAGATGTTAGATTGCATTACATTATCCTACACTTGGAGACTCTCCTTAAAATCTCAAGATAATGGGTGCATGTGTTCATCTCCTTATAAACCCCTCAACTTGTTCATGTCCCATCTCCTTGCACAAAATTTTAAATGATATTTTAACTAACATTTAGAGGTCAAATTATTCTTTTTCTTGCACAAAATTACTCTTCTAATCAACCATAAATCTCCTATAGATTTAGATGATATTATTTCATTATTCTAATGTCTAACATATAATCTAGAACGAGTTTAAATTTATATATAAATACCTTTTCTCTTTATCTAAATAAGAAAAAAATAACTTAAAAAAATATTATGAATATTAATTTTTAAATAATAATATTTTTAAACATTTATCTTAAATAAAAAATAATTTTACAAAATTAATCATTTTTATGTCATTTAACTTTTTTGTATTAAATATTTATTTACTCTATACAGTTAATTTAGTCTTTTTTTATTGTAAGTAAAATTCATGAGATAATTATATTTAAACAAAATATAATTAGTATAATCTATAAATTCTTTTTAATTAATCTACATATTCAATAGTAATTTTATTTATATTTTCTTTAATTCTTTTTAAATTTAGTCTTATCTGTCGAATTTTAGGAGCTTCAAGAACTCTATTCTTCTTTTAAGAAAAGACAAAAGAGGTTGTTAGGATTTGTCACCCTAACCATCCTGTAAAGGTCGTGAGACTACAGCGTTTATGAGAAAGTGTAATATAATATATTTAATATGAAGAGCTTATCTAATAGAGGAAAAAATTTTGAATTATGATTAGAAAAAATATTTTTATCATGGAGAAGAAAGATACAATCCCTTTCTAAGTATAAAAAGCTATGCTGAGATGATGCTAGAATCAAACCGAAGTCTTCAGTAATTTTAGGTACAAATTTAACCTCCTGCTTCCTTGGCGTTTAATTTTATTGATTTGCTTTTCCCCAACCAGCAAATGCATGGCTGGGAGTAGAAAAGTAGTAAGGAAGTTACCACAGTTTGCTAGGGAAGTTGTTTGATTTGATAACTCCTCTACTTCCAACTTTGGTTGCTTTCTCTTTCAATATCATTTTTGGGGGGTGAAGCCATTATTCTTTAAAAATGGAGGGTTAAAACACATTAAGTTTCTCAAATTATTTAGCACACTTCAACTTTCATAGAAATCATAAAATCTCCCCAATACATTTCCTTTCTTTATATTTTAACTGACACAACATAGAAAGTGCATTCTACACACCACTACTTATTGTACATACTTGAGAACACAAGCAACAAAGGATGCATTAACATGTGATTGATCGAATGATCATTGGTGACAAACTGTAACTACTTGTTTTCCAAAGTTGCGACCGCTGAAAAGTCCAACCAAAGCAGCAGGTCCATTCTCAAGTCCTTCAACAATGTCTTCAACATAGACAACTTTCTTTTCTCTTATGTAAGGCAGCAGAGTCTCTAAGATCTTGGGATAGAGGTGATGGTGATCTCGATGTGTAAATCCTTTAATACTTAGTCTCTTGAATCCAATTTGCAGTAAATTCTTAAGGGCTTCAAGTTGATGAAGGTTGTACTGTGAAATCATTCCACAAATAGCTATACGACCATAGACCTTCATATTTAGGAGGACTGCATCAAGCATTTTACCCCCAACTTGCTCAAAGTAGAAGTCAATGCCTTCAGGAAAGTACCTAATAAAAGAATACAACCAACAATTAGTGCTTCTTAAGGCTTTATTATATATACTTGGTCTCGTACTATTTGTCTTTTAAAATAATGTACAATTATTAATTATACAAGTTAGTGATGAAATGAATTTCTTTGATTAATTATTTTTTATTAAAAGAGTTAAAATGTAGTTGTGAATCTATTTAAATATTAAAGGATTTGTTTAAATTATCTCGTGAATTAAATAATATCATTTTGAGCAGACTAATTGAGATTTTATCTATTAAAAGTTAAATAAAAATTTGATACAGTTTCTAATACAATGTCTTACTTTTACTAGTCCACCAAGGATGAAATTAATTATCCAATGAGGTAACTTAGATAAATCCAACAAATATTTTAAAACAAACTGAAATAAGCAAAGAGATATGGAATATGAGAGGGAAAGAGGAGATGTGGATCATATGTGCAGTTACCTTTTAAGGGCTGCATTCAAGTCAAGCTCTTCCTTGTAATTAAAAGCATCATCAAACCCAAGCTTGTTTTTTAGAAGATCAACCTGGATAAACAACAAAATGGAGTTGGGTGCATTCTGCAGAAGAGGTTGCTACTAACTACTAAAGAATGATCACAATTCCATGGAAAAAGTGATGTTTAGAAATGTCACCTTTTCTTGACTACCTGCACTTCCAACAACATAACAACCTAGCAATTTGGCAAATTGTCCAGCCAACTGACCAACAGCTCCAGATGCTGCTGAGATGAAGACACATTCTCCTTTCTTTACAGCACCAACTTCGAAGATACCAGAATATGCAGTAATACCAGGCATGCCTATTCAAATAAATTGAAAAAAAAAAGAAACATTACAAACTAACTAAATTAGTAATATATTTATATTTGTTAGCATACATTCAAAATGAGCACGACAATGATAATAAATGTTTTGAGAGCTCAATTACCAAGTATTCCAGTGTAGTAGGAAAGAGGGACTTCAGTGTGATGGATTTTGAAGAGCTTTTCTGGATCTTGAATGACACTATATTCTTCCCAACCAGTTGTTCCCCAAACCAAGTCACCAGCTCTGAAGTTAGGATTCCCCGAGTCCAGAACTTTGGCCACACCAAATCCATTTATGGGCTGCAAGGTAAAAACCAATAGAACATGAAAGCAAAATTCAATTTAAGCCTGTGTGCAACACCATCAAACTCAAATTAGAAAAAAGAAGAGAAAAAAAATGAACATAAAAATAAAGGCAAAAGTTAATCAATGTCTAAGTACCAGTTAAGAAACATCTATAATGCTACCCCTCTCAACATCCATATCCTTTTTCTTCTTTATAACCAAAATGAAGAAGATATTCCAATTTATAATAACACTTACAGATCCAGGAACGTAATAGTGATAGCCAGACATACGATATTCCGCTTTCCTCATTAGAAATTGCATGACAGGATCACAAGAAAGGTACAGATTCTTCACCAAAACCCCATTTGATCCTTGAGGAACCTGAAGCTTAATGGTGTTTGTACTTATATATAGGTCAGATTCTTTCGGGTAGTCACTAACATAGTCCCTTAATATCACCTGCTTGTTGTGCCCTTCCTCTCCCATCATAAATTACACTTCTCAATCTCTATGAAACTTCTTCAAGGTTTATGTCTCTGTCTTAAACCAATCGTTCTTTCTATTTATAGTTTCTCCATGCAACCCCATCAAATAAAAAAATATTAAAAGTATAAATTCAATCATGTACGACACTTTTTTAATTTAATTTTTACATAACAAAATATATAATATAGTTCTAACTTAAATAAATATTTATATATTAGTCTTTGTCATTTATAAATGTATACTGATATTAGATAAAAGGGATAAAAAGTAAAAAATCACCCGTTTAAAAACAAAAACTTAAATTTTTATTGGTAGAAACTAATTTGTAAATAAGTGTTAAGTGTAAAAATTAAATATGTAATTTAACAAAAAAAAAGTGTTGAACTTGTTTAGAAAAAATAAAAATGAAATATCATATGAAAAAATTACAAAATCTTAAGAGACTTAAAAATTTATATTTTAAATAAATTTATATTCAGTGTAATTATATCCTAAAATAATAAATTTTCTTTTTTACAGAAAAAAATATTTCAAGAAATCTATAAGAATTGATATACAATAACAGATAAAAAAATAAAATAAAAAAATGTTAACTTTAATATTTAAAATTGAGTTTAAGCAACTAATTGTAACAAAATTTTATTAAAAATATTTATTATATTTTTATAATTTCAATACAATAAATGTATTCTTTTCAATAAAAAGTTTTTATTTTTAAGTGATTAAACTCAATTTTAAGGACTGAGATTAAAATAATTATATTAAATAGAGTAAAATTTTATATTAGTTAAAATAAAATGTGTTATATAAATAAAATTAAATTATACTACATATATTTTTTTAACCAACTTTAGTATTTTATGTTCTTTTAAAAATTATAATTAATTAGAATATACATTTGACATAAATTAATCTTTATAATAAATTTTTTTTTTTTACTTTTAATCTCTTTCATTTAACATGATCAACATATTTGTAAATAATACTGACTAATTTAAAAAAACTAAATTGTAATTTTTTTATGTGTAAAGACCAAGTTAAAAAAGTATATCAAGTAAAAAAAAAATTTATAATTTAATTAATAAAAATAAGTACGTAATAAGATAACGGTTGATTATAAAACGAGACAATTTTTTATTTAAACAATGTAATATGACTTTGTTATTTTAAATAAAAGAATATAACTTTTGTATTTTGAAAAATTCCATCACACCGAAAATAAAAATGTTAAATAAATTCCAACAGTATTTTTACAAGTGTTGTGTACATTTCTAACTTGGACTTTCAACTCTGGATCGAGTTTGACGAGTACAGAAGAACAGAGGAAGAGTGGTAAGCGTAAGCGGTGACAAAATGTTTGGCTCTGCGTAATTTTCTTGTATTTTATAGCCATCAGATTGAGTCAGATATTCAAAATGTTAATAATAAGTAGCCAGCTTTTTTTACTTTACCAACCAATGTTCATGTTCATGTTTCTCTTTTGCATTTTGAATATACCCTCCAATTAGGAGTTTACATTGTTTCACTTTTACGAATTCAGATTTTCAACGTTATTTAGAAACACATAATATAAAATTTAAATTAAAAGGAGTTTTTCCTTTAATTTTTATTTAACTTTTTTTATTATTTATCAAGGCTTAATCAAGTCTGTGACACCATCAGCATTTTGCATCTTTAATATTCATTGATTATAATATTATTTATATTAAATGATATGAAAAATAAATCCTTGTATAACATATAGATATTCTTATTTTAACTATTAGTTTTTTATGGTTATTTATTTATTATTCTAAATTATAGATATTCTTCGTACGAGTGTTTAACATTTTGTCTAAATATTAATTGCAATTGCATGTCTAAGACTCAAAATTAAGAGTAATTAATAAACTAAAACAGGAAATATATATACATATTTAGTGATTCTAATGTTTTTACATAGGTATCATTCTTTAGATTTTAGTTTATTTTTTATAAGAATTATTATTTTACTCTTTCAAATAATTAATTTTTTCTTAATTTTATTGTAAATAATAATAATAATAATAAACTTAATTAAATATATTAAATTATAAAAAAATAAAAAAGTAAAAAATAGGTGAATTTTGAATCAAAATTTAAATTTTGATTCAAATTTTGAATCTGATATAAGCTAATTCCATATTCAAAATCTATAACATAAAAAATAACATAAAGTCATATCTTTCTTTTTTATGTCAAATAATATATTTTTAAGTTATATTCTCTATATAAATAGTCTTACTATTTCTAATAAAGATAATTGACACTTAATCTATCATTATCTCTACACATCATAATTTTAAACCTTCCATTCTAAACTCTTATTTTTATATTTTTATTATATTCTCCATCACAAAGTTATATTTTTATTAAAGTTATAGATGTTGTGTTTAGTTATTATTGTTTTTATCTTTATGATTATATGTAACTAAATACTTTTTTATCATAAGGTTGATGTGACTTCTTGTGATGTATCTCTTTTCTTACATCAATTTAATTTTATGATATTGATGTTATTTATCAATTATAATTGTGGATGTTATTATTATTCTTAAATTGACTACTCAAAAATAAATCTTAATTAATCAATTGATAGGTAACATATTATTAATAAGTTAATAAAATTAAGGTAATTTAAGTTAGAAGTTAAAAGAATTAATTTAATATCTAAACTTCTAATTGATTAATCGAGTTTAACAAATTTGATGTGTTTATCCTGATGCTTTCTATTATCATTAAGGTAATATATACACACATATATTTTTTGTGGTGTTAGAGCATGATGAAGAAATAGGAATATATTTGTATGGATTATTTGATAACCAATTTCATAAATCTGAAAAAATGTATAGTAATTTCATTTTCAGGATATTTAAAATATCTTTAGAAAATCTTAATTGGAAGTAAAATAGTTCTTTATTTATAATGAATAAAGTTGTAATAGTAAGTTTTGATGGTGATGTACAGTAAGTCTAATTTGACAATGCTTTGTTCAAAAGAAATAATAGAACATAAAGGTTGGTGGCTATGGTAAATATTTTTATATGTAAAAAAAAAGAAGTCCACAATAACCAAATCTATAAAATAAGTTGAAGAGAATCCTACAAAGATATTGCTACCAAATCAAGTGATAGTAATGAACCAAAGTTATTATAAATATGTCTCGCCTTCTTCGTTCTTTCTTTAGAATCTCTCTTAGATCTAACTCACCTCAACCTCTTCCAACACAAAACAAAATCAAAACTTGCTCAATGAGCAAGATGCTTAAGAAATAACTCCAAAGCATAATCCTTTTGATGAAGAGGTACGCTTTGAGGAAATAAACAAAAAAATGGATGACTAGAAAATTTCATAAATTTCGCAGGATACATTATATATTCCTGAAAAAAAAATTAAATAGAAAAATAGTTTTGACTACATAATCAAAATTGTAGAAAATAATATTCCTCTAAGACAAGATATAGGGAAGAATTTCATCTATAATCGGAACATTCGATAAATGAACATATTAGAAAATATAAATATTTGCATATAGGATATGTACAAGTAGCAATTAAACCTTTAATAGACATGAGCATAAATGTCGCAGTCTTAATGTATCTTAGAGAAATTAGACACAATACGTTTGAAGATTCGTAGAAACTAGTCTAGAGAAAGGATCAGTCTAGTTTAACTATTACCCAAAAAAAATTGTGATTTTAATGGATAGAAATATCCTAGACTCATTATTTATAAATATCTACCTTCATGGCCTTGATATGAAAGAAAAATTTATCTAACATCCCTAATCTATAGAATCCAGTATAAAGTTATGAGTACTTGCATTTCTAGGACTCTCCTCGAATCACAAAAAGGAGAAGCAATCTTTTTTTATCACATATATGACAAGGAAAAATGTTTCTCTGCCAAAAATTTTAAAATGGGATGAGGTCACTCTCCTTTAAAAGTGAGTTATGGATAAGGCCATGGCTTCCGTTCCTAAACCTGTCCCTTAAATATAAGAAATTAAACAAGATAATTTTGGCAATGTTGAAAAAACTATTAACAAGAGAAACTCTTTTTCTTCCAAAATAGAAATCTTAAGACAATTTGAAAATGCCTAAATAGGAAGATCATTCCCAATACATTCTCAATCTTTCCTACCTACGATGCCAAGATCAACATCTCATATTCAATTTCATATAAACTTCCAAAGTCTAGATACAACTTCTAATATTCCTAGAACAACATATCAAAATAATAATGAGGAAGATCAACAACCAATCTCTAACTTATTCTTCTCTTAATGATTCTTATGATGTTATCGCATAAATTCATTAATGATAACAAATTCCTCAGAAAAAACTTTTGTTCTAAGGAAGGAAACTTTAGAGAGTATTTTTTTAAAAATTACAAAAGAAATAATAGAAAAAAAATATTCAAATCAAATTTTATAAATTTGTAGAGAAGGTAGAAAATAATATCTCATTTTTTGATTGGTTTCACGAATATACTATAAAAAATAATATAGATTATCCATCACAAATTAACATTATAGGTGAACCATCTATTAATGTCATTACATTTTGACAAATTAGGGATGGTGAAATAGTCTACTCTAAACTTTTTTCCTCAATCCAATACCAATTACTAAAAGTAAAATATGATATAATAACCTTGTTAAGGCTACACCTTTCCAAACAAAAAATTTAGATTAAACAATATTTCATAAAGATATTAAAGGCCTTATAGAACAGACAAATTATACTAATAAATATTTTCAAATTTTAGGAGAAAAAGTTAATAAAAAAATTATTTTTATAAAACCCAAAGAAGATGAGGTATCATATCACAAAATTAGTTGGAAAAACCTCTTTTGAAATCATTCAAAATTAGTACAAAAGACAAACAAAAAATCTTATCAATTAGAAAGCAATCTCAAAATGTAAAAGAAATGAAAGATAATAATAATAATGAATTATTAGTTAAATTAGTAATTTATTTAAAACTGTCCTAGACAGTCCTTAACTCTTAGAAGAATCATTTAGACCAAAAACTAGGCACACATAAAATATAATAAATGTAATTAACAAAGATACAGTTCAACATTCAAATCAAGTGTCTAAGAATGATTTAGTGTCAAACATAGAAATTAACCCAATAATTACCATAGGTGAGAATTGGAGAACCTCATCCAAATTATATTACAAAAAGGCAACTACTCCCGATCTAGCGAAGAATAAACATACTAGAAGCTTAAAGAAGCTGAGTTGATCATTCCTACACACACTCTAACCTCTTATTCATAAGCATACTCATGCTACTAGCATGCACGGACATGCATGAAGCTGAATTGGAGAAGATGAGTTCTGCTTTATAAGCATAGGCATGCATATGGTTTAGCATGACCGTGCTACTCCCCCAGAGGATTGTTGCGCCCAATGATTCACAACATGACTCCCAAATGGACAGTTTACCCAGACTTATTAGGGAGTCTCTCTCCTTTCTATTTTTTTTTTAATTAGTCTCTTTGCATGAATTTAATTCTTCAAAATATTGAGGACAATGTTTTTCTTGAAGTATGAGGGAGTTCCTAATAATATGATTATTATTGCATGCTCTTAAGAAAATGTTTGTGCCCTTTTTCATGATAATTTGAAACTTTTTCTCTCAAGGAACCTAATTTTTCCAGATAAAAGAGCATGTTGAGTGATTATTATTGAATAATTAGCTAAGTTTTTTACTTTTCTGCTTTACATTAGACTTTAACCTACAAATATGAGTTTTGAGCTTTAAAGAAAATTTTTATCCTAATTTAAATAAGTGTACCCCTTTTCTCATTGTTTCTGTGTGATTATCTCCTTAAGATTTGTGCTCTAGAATTAACTTGTAACCGACTTGAGTATACTCTTTTTGATTGTATGATTTAATATGATTGATGCATAATAAGATTTTTATTCTTAGCTTTTAGCGTAATTGAGATACAACTAGTTGCTCACTTTGAGTATTATTGATTTTTCTTAGTCTCTTGTATTGAAATTATAAAATATTTTGTTGACTTGAAGTTTATGAATAGAGTAATTGAGTTATTGAATTATTTGATAATTTTTCCTCTACATCTCATATATACAAAAAGAAAGAAAATATGTGCAAATAAAAAAATGAGAAAAATGAAAAATAGCAAAAAAGAAAAGAAAATGGGTTATAAATAAATGAGGAATCAGAAGTAAAAAAATTGACGAAATGTTAAATATAAAAATTACTCCAAAAGCTTCATTTATAAACTTAAGAGATTTTTTTGTAATGTTTATGATTTATTATCCCTTTGCATAGCTCTTCCATTATTTATCTTATCTTTCAGTTATTATAACCCTTTAACTACATTATAACTTGAAAAAGACCTTATGATTTTACTTTCATTCAATTTATTTAGTGAAAAATTGATTTATGATCAAGTCTATGGTAGTACACTCTTCTTTGGAGGAACTAAGTAATATCTCCTTTTGTTCTTATACACTTAGAGAGAGAGAGAGAGAGAGGTAAAGTACCATAGTTAGATGTTTGAGTGAGAATTTAGGGAATATAAGATTCTAATTAAATTTTTTATTATTATTTATACTCAATGATATTGCTCTTCTTGTTCATTTTATCTCATTTGTCTCGAATTCCTTGTTGTGGTGACAGGTTTCAAGTTATTTTATTATTCTTTTAACCAGGACTTTGCTTGAGGGCAAGCAAACCTTAAATGTGGCTTTGCTTGAGGGAAAACAAACCTTAAGTACGAGGGACTTGATAAGGTTGTATTTTGACATGTTTTTATAGCTTTTATATTGATAAATGATCATGATTTTACCTGAATTTTATACTAATTTATATATTAATTGGGTAGATTAATATGAGAATGTCACAATTGAGTTTTTAGTACATTTTGGACTTAAATTGATTGGAAAGTAGAACTTTGCTATAGTCAACACATCCAAACCACATGTACAGCTGTGTTTATGGCCTTGCATGACATGCTTATCTATGGGAAGTCCAACTTAAAGAAACTTTAAGGTTTTCGAACCTTATTAAAAAAGGCCTCTGGGACAGCGACTAGGCATTTGGTTTCTCATCTTGTTTTCATCTCATCCATTCCTCTCCTTTTACACATCTTTTTTACAACCCTGCTTGTGATCATTGACACATTCTTAGTAAAACAGGAAGCTTTGAGCGATCGTACTTGAAGCTTTGCCCTAGGTTCTTCTTCATAAGTTCAACTAAGAAGTGTATTATGTTATTTGCTCTAAATTTTATCCATAATTGATTTGTTGTTGAATTTTTTTTAATTTTATATCCTTTAAGCTCAAACAATTAAATTAAAAAAAATTTATAATTAAAAATAATCCTTATGGGATGATAATTCGAGAACTTATTTAGAACCCTTTATTTCTTTTCAATAAGTATATATACTTGCCTACAAACAATATGCAATAAGCATTTTTAAATAGCAAAGAAGAATTGGAGATTTGGAGATTTGGAAGCTGCAAATGAATAATGAAATAAAATTCAATATTGATGATAGTTGGAATCCCTCCTTTACAATGATAGGGAATAGTGGTGGATTATGTTTAACTTCCAGGTGTTAGGTATTAGTTACTAGTTTTTTCGAGCCATTATATTATGGGAAGCATACTCCTAGCTGAGTTAAATGTTATTTGCAACATCTTGCACCTAACTTGGACTAGAGGATATAAGAAACATTACTGTGAATATATTCACTTAATGCAATGTAATTCTTCAACTCAAATTTGCTTGCAAGCTTTAGCACACATGAAAAATTAGTGTGGTACATTTGAGCGTTGCTACAAAAACCTCAAGGAGTTAGCATAGAGTATGTTCTTAGGTCTATCAATATCATTGTAAACACTCTTACCAATATGGATTTCAAGGGTTACTTTAACCTTTAAATTTAGGAATATCCTTTTCCTATATCCATAGATGATATTCTAACAAAAGAGAGTTTAGTTATTTTTCCTATTATGTAATTTATTTTTATTCTTGTCTTATTAAAAAAATATATCATATATAATTTTTTTTATTGAATTTTTGTCTGTTTTATATACATATCTTACCTTTTAGGGTATTATTTATTCAATAAGTGTATCTTCTAAACACACACTTAGTAAAACCAAGTAAAGCAAACATTATTTTTAAAAGAAAAGGCTGATCCGGCGATGCAGAGACTGGAGCACATACACCACTCACTGTATCAAAGTCCTATAATAATTATTTATGAATTTTTTTGCAGCATGCATTTGATATTTGAAGATACTAAGCCACTTTAACTAGTTGTTTTCCAAAGTTACGACCACAGAAAAGTCCAACAAGGGCTTTTGGTCCATTTTCAAGCCCCTCAACCACATCTTCTACATACACAATTTTCTTTTCTCTTATGTATGGCAACAAAGTCTCCAGCATCTTTGGATAGACATAATGGTAATCTAGATGAGTAAAACCCTTTATGTTTAGTCTCTTGAATACAATATGCATCAAATTCCTTAGCACTTCTGGCTGAAGAAGATTGTACTGAGAAATCATTCCACATACTGTGATTCGACCGTAAACTTTCATGTTCAGCAGCACTGCGTCAAGCATTTTACCCCCAACTTGATCAAAGTATAGGTCAATGCCATGAGGGAAGTACCTAATGCAAATCAATATCAGCAATCAGTTCCTCTGTATTGAGGAAATAACAATAGCTTTTCATGCCTTTTATTTCTATCCTCTAGCACTGAGTGCATGTTACTGGACTCAAGAGACCAACACTAGAAGCACTCTTGAAATCTTGATTACTTTTATGTTCTGAATCCATATAAAGACAGCTTTGTGCTTATAATAATGTGGTAAGAATTAAACCGAGAGCACATGGTGAAAAAGGTTTCAATATCGAGAAACTAACAAAAAGTTAATTTGATTAAGTTCATAGATTAAGAGAGTATTTAAGAAAACTTATGTGAAATTTATGGTTTCTGAAGTTTTTTATATAACTTATTAACTTAGTTTTTCTAAAATTTATTATTCTAATAAATTTTATGATTCAATTTAAATCATAAATTTTAATATAATAAGAATTTATTGAATAATGACATAATTAAATTGTTTATTCAAACACACCGAAGGATTAAAGAAAGAAAGAAAGAAAGAAGTGCTGACCTTTTCAAAGCGGCATCCAGATCATGCTCTCGTTTGTAATTGAAGGCATCATCAAACCCAAGCTTATTCTTTAGCAAATCGACCTAGGTTGCAAAGATGATGTTGAATTATTTCATTATACAGGATTTATTTAGAAGTTAAATCAACAACAACGCATAAGATAAGTAATATAAAAGAAATTATATGCATACACACACCTTGTGTTCACTGCCAGCACTTCCAACCACATAACAACCCATCAACTTTGAAAACTGTCCAACTAGCTGACCAACAGCACCTGATGCTGCTGAGATGAACACATGCTCTCCTTTCTTTGGTGGAGAATTAACTTCATATAGTCCAGCATAAGCAGAAATACCAGGCATACCTATCCAAAAAATGATGAGAAAATAACATTTAAATTTAAATTCAAATGTGTATATAATTTGGTTTCATTTTATAATTCATTGCACCAAGAACACTTAATTACCTAGAATTCCAGTATAGTAGGAGAGGGGAACATCAGTGTGGTGGATTTTGAAGAGGTTTTCTGGCTTTTGGATGAGACTATACTCTTCCCATCCAGTATTTCCCCAAACCAAGTCGCCTGCATTGAAGTTTGGATGCCCCGAGTCCAAAACTTCACCCACTCCAAACCCATTTATGGGCTACAAAAGATTAAACCAAATGAAACTGTGTCAGCTCATGTAAGTTTCTGATATTATGATGATTAATATCATTATTTCTACCAAAACTATTGATAACTTTCTAATATAACTTCTATCTATTACTACATAAAATATTTAAAAATTGAGTAAAAACTAAAAAAAGAAAAAGATATAATTAGAAAACACAATTTTTTCTTTTAAAAGTGGAAAGATAAAAAAAAAAATCAGTTATTACTACTTTGCAATTTTATTTGGATTTGTAGGAGTGAAAACAAAGAAAAATTTAAATTTGATCGACAAGACTTACAGAGCCAGGGACATAATACTCAGAGGTGGATACTAAAGGGCCACTCACACTCCTCATTTTGAATTGCATGGTGGGATCGCAAGAAAGGTACAAGTTCTTCACTAAAACATCATTTGAGCCTTGTGGAACCTTCAGCTTAATTGTCTTTGTTACTAGATACATGTCACATTCTTTGGGAGAACCATCAACGTAGTCTCTGAATATCACTTGTTTGTTCTTCACCTCATCTCCAAAATTGTTCATCTCCATTATTAATTTTTTGAATTCTTTAAGCTCGCGCTAAAATCCTGAACATATCGGTTGTCTGACATGTTCTTATTTATAGTTTTGCACTGTCATGAGGGGTGACTCATGAAATCTGAGACACTATTCTAGTTGATGCAAGAGCTTATGATTCTCCGTTGAATTTTTTACGATGTGTCCAATTTGACATAACTGCTTACGACACTACATTTCTTGGGTTTTATGGAAGCCTCATCTTGTGCTTAATTTGTCAAGCACAATCAAGCTTTTGAACTATAAATTATAATGAACACCCAAATTCAAAAGAGACATGTTTTTATTTGAGTTCTGCAGGCAATTACGAGAAATAGTCTTCTGTATGAAAATGAAGTTTAAAATCTATTTGTTTTATTATTTTTTATCAAGATTTATATAAAAAAAATATTTTTTATTGTCATGTTTTTTATAAGAGTCTTTAAAAGTAATAAATATTAACTAACCATGTATATTTATTGAAACTTGTAATATATTTTTCCCAACCATATATCACTACGCAAGTATCTAATTACTTTTGTCTTTCATACACGTTGTCTTTGACTAAATAACACTCCTGATTCAATAAAGTTATCAGCCGTATTTAGAGTTTTAAATTACAATTTGAGTTGCTGTAATTACAGGTCTTATACTACGAAAGAAAGTCCTTGTGATGAGAAGTTTGCATAGTTTTATAATTATTCTAACAGCTAAGATATCTTACATTTACATAGTTTACATTGTATAATTATATTCACAGCAAAAGTAGTATGATAACTGTTACCCCTGCAAGCATGTAGTTGATACTCTTCTTGAATTTAATAGTTTAAGGTATAGGAGTAAAAATGTTTAATGGGAAGTATAACAATGTATTTGTGATTTCTAATACACTTAAAGTTTTTTTTGATAAAAACTATCAAAAAATTGGGGATAGGAACTAGGAAGGTTTGTCATCTTTATCATCGCTTACGAAAAGTTGGGTGAAAAGTAATTCGTTTAATATATCAATCTGCTGGTAAATTGTACATTGGTTTTAGATTAAGAAAAGTCGTACTTAAATTTTATTTGATTTTGATTACTTAGCTCAAAACCAACACGGAATTGGATATAAAAGATCAACAGTGAAATCAGAGAGAGTTCTTATTCGTTTAAGTATAACAAATGCTATGATGACAACATTAACTTTCTAGGTTAAGTTAATATATCCTTTGCATAATTGCATTGGCTATGTGATTTGGGAACAAGTTGCAAGCATGTGTAAATTTTCAAGCCAATTCAACGGGTTCAATTCTCCATATATCTCTAGCATATTCATGTATAGTCCTGTCACTGCTGAATTTGTATGAACCAGCTGTGTTCAAGATTGACATTCTTGTCCATCTCTGCACCAACATCAAAGAGTTTTAAATTGCTACAGGATCTATATCTTACTTCATATCTAAGTAGAGAAATAAATACAATATTTAAACAATGAAAGTTTTTCGTTCTCGTGTGTTTATTGTGACTTCTATTTGAAAAAAAAATGTAAAATATAATTTAAATGGAATAATAATAGCCACTGAAAAGTAACTCTAATAATTAATACTCATTCATAAATTACTTCATGTATTTTAAAAAAACTTATATTTTAATTTTTATACGAATACTTTGTTATGTTTTATAGTTTTTGTCGTTAATGATGTTATCACAGTTATAAACTAAAACATAACAAAACACTAATACAAGAATTAAAATATAATTTTTTTTAAAGTATAAGAATTAATTCATGAACAAGTGTTCACTATAGAGATTTAATGTATAGTTTAATCATAAATAAATAAAATATTTTTGATAAATTTATCTAGAAAAATTAAAAATAATCAATCAAATAAAAAAATCAAGAATTTTTAAGATATTAAAAATTTATACATTCAAGTCAAATATTATTATTGATAGTTCAAGATTATACATATTTATTAATATAGAACTTAGTAATTTAGTAAATATATAGTGAATAAAAAAATCATAATTATAATTACTAAATTTATTAAGAATAATTTATATAAAAAAATATTTTTTTATTGAAGTTGAAAAAAAAACTAAATATACTTGAATATTATTCTATAAATAAAATATCTAATTGATAGAAAAAATACCATAAATATTAATTAATGAGATTTTAATTCGATGTAATAAAGTTGATTTTGTAAAAAAATTTATAACTGTATAATTTTACATTTCAAATATAGTAAATATTTTGTTTTTTATAAAAAATTATTTCAAAAATTTCATAAAAATTGATATATTATATAAAAAATATTAAATATGAATTAAGATAGTTATATATTAAAAAATATAATAAAAATTTTAACATTAATATTTTATTCATTCATTTAAAAACAGTATGAAAAGTAAAATAATAAAATTAAATAAATTTCTTATTAGTCAATATTCAGGTGTTATAAAGATAAAATTGAGTTGTAAAACAGATATTTCCTTAAATATGTAATTACATCTAGTGTTGTGTGATTTTTTAAAATTATAAAATACATATTTAATCTCAATACTTGACATGTTTATAAATTAATCTTTATATTTAAAAAATTAATATTTTAATCTTTACGCGATTTTTTTTTTACTAAGCTGGCTGGCATTATTCTCTATGAAAGATGCTCCGTTTAAGCATTAAATTGACGAGAAAGTTGATGTGAAATTCATGATTTGTTCCTGACTTCTGAATGGAAATCCCTGAGCAGAGAGATGATACTTACCTTCTGATCACGATATGCCTCATCAACTTGTTCTTGGCACTCCAAGTAGCTAGGGAAGTCCTTGCCAACAAGAAAATAATCAGCACGACCATAGCCTTCATTCCCTTCCAACGACCCCATCAATTCTTCATAATTGTAGGGTCCAAAAACACCACTTCTTACATATTCCTTAACTTCTTCAAACCGTGGCTCTGGTACAAACTGCACATATTATAGTATAGACCATAGAAGATTGAGATTATGATTCATTTCACTAGCTTGGACTAAAATAATAATGCCTTAAGGGATTTGTAGAAGCCAAATTTTATTGATTCTTCAACTAATACTTAGATTATGACCCGGTTTGAATTAATTTCTCAATAGATATTTATAAAAGATAAAAACAGAAGCATAAGTTGATTTTAACTTATTAGAAGGATTTTAGTTATTTTACTACTTATTTTCTTCTCCTACAAATATTTTTGCAAAAGCGTATCCAAACTGGACCCATATATATTTGTATGCTTTCCATTCCACCAAGCTAATGCAAAATTTGGAAATGCGTTGTGGTATCAGCAGATAAACATAACATGAGGGTCTTGAGGTTGCTTAAACTTTTATTGTAGCTGGAACTTATGTTTATCTTTAGCCATTGCTATTGTCTCTAGCATGAAAACAAAATAATAAGAAAGGAAAAGGAAAGGAAGAACTGCATGATTCATATTTTTAAAAAAACTTACCTTTCCCTCGGCTCTTTCTTTCCGTAGCCCAGCAATTTCTTGAGCTCGTGCACCAAAAAGAAAGAAGTTATCTTCTCCAACCTCTTGTCTTATTTCAACATTCGCTCCATCAAGAGTTCCTATAAGTATGCATCCATTCATTGCAAATTTCATGTTGCTTGTCCCACTGGCTTCCATCCCAGCAGTGCTAAACACACAGAAAAAAAGAAAAAGAAATGCCAGAAACAAAAACTGATAACATTGATGATAATATCAGCCCTTGAAAATGAATTCATATTAGGCGTCACATGAATATAAACCAAGTAATTTAATTGTAAAAAAAATTAAATTATTTGTTTTTCAAAAAATATTTATCCAAAAAAGAAAAGTACCTGATGTGCTGGGACAACTCACTGCCTGGAATTAGCATTTCAGCGACACTGACATTGTAATCAGGAACAAAAACAACCTACAGAGTAAGGCAAAGAATAAAGATTAGCCTTATGAGTTTGTAGTACGAAAGGCTAGTCTAATGCCCTTTATCTTAATCATTTTAGCTTTTTCCCAACCACCCAAAATTTTCATCCTATACTTATACTTTTGCAGGTGGAATCTCTGGATACATATTATGAAGTTATTCAACATGAAGGTGTTGAATAACTTGATGATTCTAGTTAAATTATTGAGTTAGACTTGAACTAAATCTTCTGAACCCAACTGGCCTCAATGGGATTCAGTCCTGGAATTAAGCAATTTCCAGAGTTTCATTTGAGATAAATTAAATAGATCTTAATTTAACAATCAGTAGACACATGAATTTATTTTTTTTATACATGGGATTTAAAAATTATATATTCTAAAATATGATGTTTCTAGAAAAATTACAGAAATGTAGAGTTCAAAAATTGCTTAAAAAAATATAAAAAGTCAAAATTCGCTAATAATAATTTAAAATAAAATAAAATAAAAATAACTAATAACGTCACTGGCTATTTTTAGCATCTGTCGATTTTTGGAAAGATCCCATATTTTTTTTTTCTAAAATAGCATATTTTGGAAAAAAAATTCATTTTTTCCTCACAAAAAAAAGAGCCTAGGCACATGCAATGAACATTTTAGAATGACTACAATGGGCATCACTCTATGTCTACCTATGTCACCAAAGTTGAGCATACCTTCAAAAGATCACCAATTTCTGGATCATGATTGATTGTAGCCCCTACATCTGTGATGAATTTTACAATCCTCTTGGCTTGGACATAGGTTGCAAATGCTTTCCCCCCAAAAATACAAACCCGAGGAACAACCATTTGTTTTCTTTCCTTAGCACTCAATTCTTTCATCTTCTTGTAGCGATAAACAATTCCCATGATATTCAGTAACTGTCGTTTGTATTCATGAATGCGCTTCACCTGAAATGAAAACGTTAGATCTTTCTCCAACAATTAATTTAGTGTGAAAATCAACATGACATTGGAATTTAATTGTTATCCAATTTTCCCAATTAATGTAAGACCTTTATATATTAAGCTGACATTGATAGGATTTTGATGTGTTGTCTAGTAATTAACCAAAACCCAGATGTGGGTTATTTTATTCTTGTTAATAATCACCTATTGTGTAACCGTCGCATGGAATTCTAAATCTATGTATCTAACGAAACTAAACACCTTTATGAATTATGCATGATTGAGTTCAGTTGTTTTAGATTTAGTAAGGCATTAAAGAACCATGAACTCTAATCCTTGATCAAGATGAAAAAATTCACTCTAGTCCTTCAGTACAAATGTTAACTAAAACAGTAGAAGAAAGAAATGAAGTGGTTGGTGGAAGAAACCAACCTGCACATCAAACATTGCATTTGGATTGACAACATAACCCGTTTTCTCTTTGAGAAATGATGCAACCTTTATTTTGTTTCTTCTTTTTGATTCTATCCACTCCAATTGTAGATCCTCATTATCTGCAAACTGTTAAATAAAATTCATCCATAAGAAAAAAAATATATAGGAACTAAAAAAATTCCAAAAAAATTGTAAAGTGACACTTTACTAACTAATGACCTGTATTGCTTGCTATCATTATGAAGTGATATATATATGAACAGTCGTATATATATTCATTTGCCAATCGTGGAAGTTAAATCATGTCAACTTACCTAATTCAAATATTATTTTAATTTAATTTACCTTGCGAAGTATAGCCAATTTCTTAAGGTCTGTTACCCAGTCTTCTGTTCCAATCCACTTGGTTATGATTTTACTAAGATCAGGATTACAGAAACGAATCCATCTTCTAGGGGTCACCCCATTTGTTTTATTCTGGAATTTCTCAGGCCACAACTGTCAACAGTTAAATGATAAAGAAATTTGATGAGCATTCTGTTTTCTGGATGTATATACAGAGGGATCCCGAGAAAGAAACTGTTCTTGAAAACTGACACAGTTTGCTGGTATTGTTACCTTGTAAAATTCATCAAAAACTTCATCTTTTACAATCTCACTATGAATCTCGGCCACCCCATTTACAGAAAACCCGCCAACAACACATAGATTAGCCATGCGAACCATCATTGGTAGTTTTGAATCAACTTTGAATCTCACTTCTATTTTACTGCCAGTATCCTCTACAACAGTTTCTTCTTCTTCTTCCTCCTCCCCCTCTTTCCCTACTTCATCATCACCATCGTCATCATCTTCTTCTTCTTCTTTTTGTTCTTCTTTTTCCTGTTCTTCTGTTGCCTTTATATCATTATCATCAACATCAATTTCCTCCACAGGATCAACAGCAGGAGTCTCTTTTGGAATATTAAGCAGCTCCATCACTGAGCTAGGCAATTCAATATTTTCCAGTATTCTCATTTTTTTAAATCTTTGTTCCAACAATTCAAGATCATCTGTACCATACTCGGCAATGATTTCATGTATCAACTGGATAACAAAATAAGCATGCATGACAAAAGATATATAAATAATATTTCATAAAGAAGAATAACAGGTAGATGTGCATATAAACCAAGAATATATTAAAGTCTCATAAGTTTAACAGCATTACCTCTTCATCTATCATTCTTATTAGTTCCACGTGTCGAGGAAGTAAATCCTGCAGAAGTGACAAACTCCATTTCTCTAGTGCCTCTGGTAGAACTGTGTGGTTTGTGTAAGCAACCGTTCTTACAGAAGAGTCATTAAAAGAGGTATCAGAGTATAAGGAACAAGGTAGTAATTTTGAAAAGTGATTCTACAAAGCACTAGAGATGAATCAGAAGTTTTATTGTGGAGAAGCTTTGAATTTTGAAAATGGAAGCTAATCTTTCTGTATACGATGGCACACAGAATTCCACCCAAAGATGAAGATAGAAAATTCAGAACAAAATAAACACATTACCCCAAACAAGTAAATAATATTTTTAAAAACCAATGCTACTAAAAGTAACATTCCCCTCAAGAAGAGCCCTTTGGACTTAAAGCATGGACTAAGCACATGGCCATTTTCCTTGCGCTGAAAATCAAATTAATTGGTGGCAGAGGTTGAACTATGAGGCTCTAATATCATTAAAAGCCTAAGCTATTAGCTGAAATCCCAACAATTTGCTTTAATATTAACTTTTAAATATTAGCTGAATACACAGATTTTGCAAAAGGAAGCACCTTTTAGTAATATTCCAGGCTTTCTCCCAACTTAAACCCTTGACATCCATCAATATCCTAATCAGCTCAGGAATGCAAAGTGTTGGATGAGTATCATTCATTTGTACCACCACTTTATCTGGGAGAGTATCCCAATTGACTCTCTTCCCTGATCTCTTTTCAAAGCGTGCAACAATATCTTGGAGAGAGGCAGAACATAGTGTGTATTGTTGCTTCAATCGTAGAGTTTTTCCTTCTATTGATTCATCACCGGGGTACAGAATGTAGCAGATCTGATTGCAATATAACATTAAAAATGAGCATCACAAGTGATTTATGAAGTCCAAATGAAGTTAGTGTTTACAAAAGCAAATAATTTTTCAGATGATTGGTAAATGAAATGGAGGTGCAATTACAGTTTGTAACAAGAAGAAAATAAGCTTTGCTTCATATCTACACACTAGACTTCTCAGTTTAACAGTGGACATTTGGAAACCTTTCAGGCATGTACCTTTAAAAGTTCCAGGGAGGATGCTTAACTTCGATACAAATTCACAATTACTATTAGAAAATTGAGTCTCACACTCCCAATAACTAGCCCATAAGAGGAGGGTTGTTCAAACTAAGATAAGGAGTATTATGATCATTTTCTGAATTGATGTTGGACATCATAATGCACACCCCTCACACCTGGTATGTGAAGTTTGCAAGATTGGATATTTGTGCCTAACTCATTCCCAAAAGCTAGTGCAAAGGAGGAGGATTGTTAAAACCTTATAAAAAGAATTGTCTATATTCCTAACTGATTGAGACATCTGAACAATTACAATATCCTAAAGGTTAAAGGAAAGAAAATAAAATAAGAGTCTCCACAGACCTTCTCTGCTTTCTTCATAGCAGCATATGCTTTGGCATGATCTCCAGAATTGAAGGCTTGCAAATCAAATTCTTCTGGAGAAACTTTAGTCGACCACAATCGCAGATTTATAGTGGTTCTAGTTTTGTATCCAGGTATTGGAACATCATAAGCGACAGCCAATATATTTTCTCCTCCAATCCACTGTTTACTTCCATTTGGCCCTGAATTAACTTCCCCATAGAATTTAACTGGATAAGAAACATCATTTCTCAAAATTTCCCATGGATTTCCCATCTGCAAAGAGACAGAATCAACATAGCACTTCTAACATATTACCTACTCATTAAAATAACATTCCAAATTCCGAATATAGGTAAAAAACCAATTATAGAACAAGGCATGCCTACTATAATATGAAAAGTTTCTTCAAGTCATTAACTATGAAACAATGCATATGAATAATACCTCAAGCCAGTTTTCAGCAACTTCCTCCTGTCCATTCTTTGTTATAAGCTGTTTGAATAAACCATACTTGTATCTGAGTCCATATCCCCATGCAGGGTAATTCAAAGTTGCCAAGGAGTCCAGAAAGCAAGAAGCAAGCCGACCTAATCCCCCATTCCCAAGGGCAGCATCTGGTTCCTGTGGGATTGTATATTAATTTGCTTTTAAATAAGCTCTAATTAACATTGAAAGTATGTCCATAAAACTGCCATTCCTTTCTAATTAATAAGTTTTTATGAAGTTTTTCTTAGTCCTTTAGTAGTTCGTTTCCATAAAAGATAAATGCTTTTTATTGTTAAATTTGATTGCTTGTTTCCTCACAATATTCTTTTAAGAGAAAAAAAAAAGAAAAGGAAAAGATCTTTTAAAGATCTTGAGGATTTAATACAAAACTATTTATATTGTCTAGAGAAAGCCTAGCTTATATTAGTTATTAAAGATATAAAGAATGATAATAGCTGATATCCCCAAGATGATAGATAACAATTTTGTGGAATGGACAAAGAAGCATTAGTCCTGCTCAATTTTCTCTTACATGCTACATGTAGGACTAGGACTAACTGATAAACTAAAATGGTAACAAAAATTAAATCACTTATAGTTTCTGACAAGAAAGAAATTTGTAATATGAATTAACCTGATTAGCCACATCCTCCAAGTTGTGACCCAGCTTTTTGAGAGCCTCAGCATAAGGACCCGAGAGTTGTAAATTCCCAATTGCATTTAGCAATGCCCTACCCTTCACAATTAGAAAAAAAAAATGGCAGTGATTAAAATTGATATATCATTTGAAAAGAAAATGACTTCTGCCCCCAGGATGAACCTGTAGATACTCCATAGACATATAATAGGCTTGCTTAACATTCATTCGCTCGTAATAGTCATTTGTTGCATTCCAATTTATGATAAGAGAATCACGAACACTCTCTGCAGTTGCAAAGAAAGCCTTATTGAGCTCAAACTTCTCTGGAGAAAAAGGGGTGGTGAACTCAGCATGGAATTTGATGCTAGAAGCAATAGATGCAGAATCTGGTACAAATTCATTGAAAGTGCCTGCAAGCGTTAAGCAAGAAAGAATTAATAATTAGAACCTTATTTGCAGGAAAAAGAAAAACAATACTGTATATATTACTAATAACGGTTTTTCTAACATGTGTACAAGACCACAAGTTTAAAAATTAAAAAATATTTTTTTATTAAGAATTGTAGCATTTAATGTATTAATGCCTTAAATTAGGTAATATTTTGTCCTTTTTAATAAAATTTTACCATACATGAATTCTTATTGTGTGCCCTTGGCACACAATAGAAAAACCGCACTAATAAATCTTGTATTTTATTAATTTTGAAGTATATGTATACTTCAATAGGACACTTGAAAGAGTTGTCAGTTTGATTCACTGAATAAATAAACATCTAATTTGTCCATCTAATGAGGTTTTACCATTAATTCCATTAAGACACAAGGAAACTTGGTTAGCATGAAATGAAATCCATAGGAGAATGGAGTAACAGCACACTAATTAGTTTAGTAACAGTCCTATAAATCTCATGCTACATCACCATCAACAAAACTCATTATACTATAATGTTTGTGGAATTTAAACTTCAAAATATGGAGAAATGTGTTCTCTGTATTTCGGTACTACAATTCCTCCACTAAACATCGAAATGATAAACAGACAAAAAAGTGTCATAATAAGAGATGGCTTACACATCATAGTAACTTTATTTTCGTCACATATTATTTACAAATCCCAATTTAAGAGCCACTTCCCTTCTTTATTTAAGCTACAATTCCTAAATCTAAGTTGGAGCAGTACACCATAAAAAGCCACTATTTGAATCAACTATTATGTGCATTTGACAGTTTAACTCAATGCTTGGACATCGCTATTGTTGTTCTCTACTTCTTAGTTCTAAGAACAACAGCACACTACTAGCAACCAATTAAACCCACCCCAGCAACTTTTTCCACAAAATGAAAATCTTAAAGGACTTACAGAAAAATATACAACTATCTGACTTAAAAACATGAATTTTCTGAATTGTATGCTAGAACACGAAGAAGGGACTAAAGTAATAAATTGAAAAGGCAATAAGTAAGCAACCTTGTTCATTGAGTGGTTCTTTCATTTCCTGCTTCTTGTCACTGGCAACATTCTTCACGCACAGTTTTCTTATTGCCCTTCTGGAATTTGACTTGGTGATTACAAACAACTGCCAAATACTGTTTCTTGGACTGAAACCTGCGAAGCTTGATTTGGAATTGCGATGTATAGGTAACTTGGAATGGCTGCAGGTTGTTGAGAAGGGTAGAGCAGCCATTGCTGCAATGCTTTTTATTCAGAATGTGTGTCTCTCAGAGGAAACAGTAACACACTGAACAGAAATGATGTCTATATAATGTGGCTTTGACTTGTGAGGAAGAAAAAAATGAGTGAAAGAGGAAGTGTGTCTTTGTCTTCTTATCTTTATTTAATATCTTGGTATTTGTATTTTGAACACGAGGCAAAATATGGCATGTCGCTATCCTTACTCCTTTTTGTGACACTGGTTGATTGGTTCTCCTTCTTCCCCTTCATGATCAAGAATCATCATGATTTAACTGCATTTGCATGGAACTAGTTAATGACCAAATCACCCCTATGATATTTCTGGGTTTCTGCTTTGCCTTTATATATATACTCTTAAAAATACATCTTCCCTCAACTATGAAGTAAAGTAAATACAAAAACATTTTATAATCCAGAACGTTGTCTTAATTGAAGGGTTACGCTTGAGTATGTATGAGTTTGTCACATGTTAATAGAAACCAGAGACTTGCTTGACTCTTAACAAGAACCACCACCACCAAATTCATAGATCCACTTGGAAACTGTATCAATTCCCTTCAGGAACAACTAAACTTTATGGGTCAGCGGTCAGCACCTTTTGTTGGGATTTCCATTATTTCAGCTCTGGAAGTTTCCTCGTCTATTTAGAAAAAGATAGGAGAGGTAACGGAGCTATTGGGGTTTTTCAAGGTTCTAAGTTGAACAAAATGTAATACATAGTTCAATTTATACAAATTCATAATATATATATATATATATATATATATATATATATTAAATTTTATATATTTCATTCATTATTTTTATCAAATATTTAATATTTTATTCTTTTTTACTTTATAAAAATCAATAATATATCATAATTTTATTATATTTTTATTAATTATTAAATAAATTTATGAAATAAAAGACTTATTTTGAACAATTAAAAAATAAAAATAAATAAATACAAGTAATTAAACTAAAAGAAGAAAAATCATGTATAAATTAAAGTATAAGGATAAAAAAAAAGTGTAATTAAGCTAAAAATTAAAAAAAAAAAAAGTTTAAATCTCAGTAATTCCTAATTTCCTATCCAAAGACCCACACTGAAAGTTATGAGAGATTCGTTTGTTTCAATATTTAGTACACTTTTTACTTTGTTACACAATAGTATGGTCTCATCCGATAGATTACATATTTACATATACCTTCTATAATGTACAACAAACACAAGTGCCTAAAAGAAATGCCTTGAATCACATAGTTCAGCAAGAAAATTTGCATATATACAGAGATAAATCCTCAAGTATATGAGGTGGCAGCTTAGGTGTTTTAATCAAACAAACAAGAGTGGAAATCACACAATTCCAAACCTCCATGCCCTCGTGGAATTTTTTTTTTTTAAGCTGAACCTTCATTACCTAATTAAAAAAGTGGTAAACCATACTATACTATAAAATTCAAGTTTCCTCAGTCTTCACCGGAGTCCAGTCACTCCTGACCTCAGACTTCTTCCTGCCACGTGAAATGAAACCAAGAACATAACCCATGAAAGCCCCAAGCACCAGCACACTTGCTCCCTTGACATACCAAGTCAATGTGGATTCCACAATTTGACTTCCAGCTTCAGAATTAACATCACCAATACCACCATCCTTACCACTGACAACTTCTCCAGATGCCAGAATTTCAACAGTGTCATGCACCTCGCCATCGTGGTTTCCCACATAAGAAAGCACAAGCTTCTGCTTTGAAGCTACCAGTCTAGTGTACCCAAACTCACCCCCACGGTATAGCGACCGTTTCGGCTGTGGAAAGATTGGGTCATCGGGATGGTCAGGTCTTGGTTCCCAGATGGGTTGCCAGTCTTGCCCTGCCATGCCAATCACAACGTGAACAGTGTATCCTTTTTTGTCCCCTGCCTTCCTACCCACGTTACTGCCGCAAGTGAAGTTATTCAGAGGACAAAATCTCTCGTATCTATGAACATGACCCCAAAAGGCAAGTGTCACATTGTTATTCACCAATAGAGGTTCCAAGTGCACAAGCATCTTTCCTCTTAAACCAGCATCCCTATTTTCATGGCTGGTAGTGTACATAGGCCTGTGCCCTTGCACTACCACAAAAGGAGTCTTACTCCTGTCAACCGATTCTAAATCATGCTTTAAGAAGTTGTACTGATTGCTCCCGGGAAGGAAATTGGTCTCTGTGGAAATATACATAAAATGTACTGCTCCCATATCAAACGAGTAATAAAGATTCTTAGTTGGCGGGGCGGCAGTTCCGGTCGGTTCTGAAGAGTTTCCAGGCATGTTGAACCTTAAACTATAGGGCACACCACACTCACCACCCCCATCTTTTCCATAACTTGCCCAGTCAGGTTTCCACGGTTGCAAAGGCCAGTTATACTCATGGTTGCCAATGCAAACATGGTATGGCACTTTTGTTGAAACAGGTTCAATCTGAGTGAAAAAATGGTCCCACAACCACGCATAACCTCTTGCATAACTAATGTCTCCAATGTGCGAGACAAAGGCAGGCTTCTCGCCCAGAGCTTCAACATCGCGGAGGATCCACTTCATGGTTGATATGCTTTCTTCTTGTGTTCTTAGAAACGTATTGTATGGTGCAGCTGTTCCCATGTCTCCAAAGAGGAAGGCTATTGTTTCATCTGAATCACTATTCCTCGATACAAAGCTGTGAGTTGCACTCCAACCTCCATTATCATTTCCAACCTGGAACATATTACATTAAATCTAAACGGTTAGTTAAAAATATTACACCATTCATAAGGTGTGATTGTATGGGAATAAAACATCGGTTTGGTTCCTGAAATTGACCAACACCTGGCAATTTAATCCTAACACAAGGCAAAATTAATCCCTATAGTAAATATACAAATTGGTCCCTTGACACTCTATCTTTGATCTTTGAAAGTTTCACTTTGTACAACTGATCATCAAATTTGTTAACTTACCTTTTGATTCGTTTTAGAAACTAATTGGGCCCTGGAAATTTGGTGTGTACAATTTGGTTCCTGAATATGTTAATTTTACTTACATTTTTGTAAAGAAAGAACCAAAATATAAGATAACACATTCAAGGAGTAAATTGTACGAAGCAAAACTTTCGACTAAATTTATAAACAAAATCCCACTTTCGGGAATCAAATTGTATACTTATTCTAATTCTAACTTAGCCAGTACTGGACACATTTGAGTAAACTTAATTAAACATTTATTTGAAGAGCTCTGGTCAAATGGAAGCTTAATCATAACTTCGACTATAGAACTTATTGAAGTAAGGTAATCAATATTCATTTTGATAAACTGTGTTTAACACTTATTAAAATAAATTTGTTTTAAAAAGAGGCCCATAAGTGTATATTTGGTTCAAGTTATTGAAAAAAGCAATCACTTATTTTATTCAACTTTCAAAAAACAAGGAAAATAATCCCTTACCAATCAATCACTAAAAAAACAAAGTCAAAAGCCACTCTCATGAGTTCAAATGCGCTTCTAAATGTCCCTAATCACGTGTAACATTGAGTGCCCAGTGTAGTACCTAAGCAGCATCCCATTTAATGTGACCCACAAGATACATTATTAGAATAACCAAATTGAGGGTCATCAAACTTCAGAGTTTTTTTCGAATACCAAATCGTTCCTTAAATTATAAAAAAAAAGTGTAAGAATGAATACCAACCTTGTAATAGTATCGCTGTCCTTTCTTCAAATTGGTGATGAGTGCATCGTGGATATAACCAGGGTCCCTCCAACCCACACTAGTGTTAGCGGGAGCGTCGCACATGTGCTCCCTCTGGTACCTCTTAACACGTGCGAGCGCCACGCCATCCAACTTATCCTTCCTCTCCCCATACCGCACGTACGTCTCTTTAGGGTTCCACGTGACGTACATCACGCGCATCGCGTCCTCTTGCTCCGCAAACGCCAAGTGGATCTGATCGGGGCCCCGACCCGAAACAAACGAAACCTCCTCCGAGAACGCAAGAAGGTGGCGCGTAACGGGCAAGGGGTTGTGGTCATGGTCCTGCCGTTTAGGGTTGATTTCGGATTGGGTCCAGCGGAAGATCCGGAAGGAGTAGTTGGATCGGAGGTTGATGAGAGGGAGGGAGAGGGAACCCGACCCGGATTGCCATGTTGGGGATTTCGAGAGGAAGAGGTAGCCGACGAAGTTGTCGTGGGAGGAGGTCGGCGGAGAGTAGATGGCGAGGAAGTCGAGGTCAGAGGGGGAGACGATGCCGGACCACCGTAGGAGGACGGTGTCGCCGGATTTGGAGAGGGTAGTTGGGGTTACCGAAATGGAGGGTTTGGAGTGGGTTTGGGGGATGTTGAAGATGAATACGAAGAGGAAAAGGAAGAGGAGTGTGCGATCGGGGATCATGGTGGAGGATTTCAAATTATGAATGGGTATTGGTGTTTTGGTTTTTCCATAAGCCATCGTTTTGTTCATTAAATGGCCTATTCTTCTTTTGCTTCTTTTACTGTTCTCTTCCTCGTTGAATTTCCTCAGATATTTTTTTTCCCAAATAATTACTTGTATCTTAGTCCCAACAATATTAATCATAATTAGTAATTAATTATGACTTTTCAAGTAACTTAACAGAAATTTATGGGTGGAGACATATTTCACTTTCAGGAATTAATTTTTCAATGTTGCCAAGGGCTATCCTTTTATTAAAAACTAATTCTATTAACATAACCATGTGTTTGACAAAATTAACAGATAACTACAAACTAAGAAGATGGTTAAAAATTAAATGATGAGAGATAGTTAATTCACTTTAAAGTATTTAATTAATCTAGTGTTTAGCTTAACTCATATTATAAAATCATAAATAAGATATCATAATTAAGTAGACTACAATTTAAAATGTAATGATTATATACTTTTTTAAAATTATAATTTTATATTAATTTATTTAAAATTATTTATAGTTGTAAATTAGAATAATAAAGTTTTAATTTTACTTTTATTTATAAATATTTTATTATAAAAATAAAATTTAATTACTCTATTAATTTTTTTCAACACATTAATAATTTATTGCTTTTAAAAATAATAAAATTTGTGACATTTATTTTTTATTATTTGTGACATATTTTTTCAATGTAATAAAAAAATTAAGTTTAAGAAACTATTCAAAAATAATAAAATAAAGAATTACTTTTAACTGATAATTAAAAATACACACTAATAGCATTAAAAAAAATTCTACTAGCACCTCATTTCAATTACTAAATCAAATATTATTATTTTTACTAAATAAACTTTTTAACTCGGCCAAATGTTTTGACAAACACGCATTTATATTCTTTGAACCTAAGATTTTTTTTATTTTACGTTTTTTTCACTTTTACATTTAAGAAGTGCTTGTACACGTCACCCGACGATTTGGACTGGTTTGTTTAATGAGATGGAATTGGAATTTTAAAATTTTAAAAATTGCGATGTTAAGTAAAATTGCAAAGAGTAATGTTTATGATATCAAATATGACGGTGATAATAAACACTAAATTTTTTTTTATAAAGTTAGTATTATTCGTGGGAGAAAGAGATTTATTGAAGTTCTAAAAATAATAATTTAGATCAATAGAAATTTGATGTTAATAAGTTAAAATTTTTAGTTTTAAAATACTTCAATAATATTTATTTAGATTCCTAACCATAGTTTGGTTCTCATAATTATTGTTGATTTTTTTTTTTCTTTTATGGGATTTAGATAGAGTAAGGATGGATGCTAAAATATCTACATATGAGATTAGGGTTGTCCTATTTAACATAGAGAATTTTACATATTCTGGTCCAGATGAATTACATGCTCTTTTTTTTTTAAAATTAATGGAATAATTTAGCCCTTTTTTTTATAAACCTTGTAAATGATATTTTTGCTAATCTCATTAATATAAAGATTGTTAACGAAATTGGAATCACTTCGATTCCTAGGACTGAAAAACTTAAATATATTAATCAATACAGACTCATTTTCCTTTGCAATGTCAGCTACAAAGTAGTAACTAAAATAATTGCTAACAGGATAAGAGATGTTCTTTTCTATTTAATTTCTAATAATCAAGCTAGTTTTATTTCTGGGGGATAGGGCATTGATAACAAGAATTAGCCCACTCATTTTCTAAACTAAAAGAAAAGAATAGCTACATGATCATTGAATTGGATTTGAAAAAAGCTTATGATAAGTTTAGGTGGTCCTTTACTAAAGATACTTTTCAAAAAATTGGTATTAATAAAAATATGGCTGATGCTATAACCTATTACATATCTACCCCTTCTATGTTCATAAATTGGAACAATAGTAAGACAAATCTTTCAAGGGGTATTAGACAAAGAGACTCCTTATCCCCTTATATTTTTGTGTTTTGTATTGAGAGGTTAGCCCATTTTATAAATGACAAAGTATCCAGTAAAGTCTACTTTTCTTTTACTTTTAGTAACCAGGGCCCTAATATATCCCATATTCTTTGTTAATGACTTGATTTTGGTTGCCAAAGTCATTGCCTTATTAAAGATATCCTAAATGAGTTTTGTTGTTCATCTGGTCTCTAAATTAATATTGATAAATCTTCTTTGCTTTTCTCATCCAATACAAATCATGTTATTTCTCAATCCATTTGCACTGATCTAAGAATCTCCATCATGAATAAGCTAGGAAATTATCTTAGTATTCTAATACATCACACTAGACCTCGCAAATATCACTATTCTTTCTTTAAAGATAAAATTAGAAAAAAAAAACTTTCTTCGTGGAAAAAGAATTCCTTATCTTTAGCTTGTAGAGTTACTCTTACTCAGTCTGATCTTATGAGCATTCCTACTTATGTTATGTAATCCTATTTAATTCCTTCATCTATCTATCATACTATCAATACTATTTGCAAAAAATTTATTTAGGGTTCTTTAAGGGGTAAAAAATGTCATCTTATAAGATGGCCTACAATATGTAAACCAAAATCTAAAGGAGGATTAGGATTTAAAAACTTGCATATGCTAAATAAAGCTTATGTAATTAAACTCTGGTGGAGGTCTTATACCTCCCCCTCTGCCCTATGGGCTCAAGTCTTACATAGGAAGTACAACTATACAATTGGACAAAATCATGTATGAAGACAAAGAAAAATGTCTTCCATATGTAGAATAGTCTATCTTCTATTTGGTCTAAGTTTTCTTAGGGTCTTAGTTAAAGAATTGGAGATGAAATGAATATAAAATTTGGTATGATAATTGGTGTATTAATATTAGTCTATTGTTTAATGCTATTAACCATCTTTATGATTTGGATTTGGAGATTTTTGTGGCTCTATTTTTTTTACAATGGAACCTAGAATATGGATAAGGTTGCTGATATTCTCCTTGAACAGGTTACGAATATGGTAATTAAATTATTAACCCCTCTTTGTCCTTTGGAATCCTGACTCTGTATTTTGGAACCTAACTCATAATAGTAATTTTACCCTTAAATTTGCTTATTCTTTACTATATTATACATATGAACCCATTGTTGGCTGCCAAAAGCTTTTTGAATCGGTGTGGAATTGGGAAGGTCTTCCCAAAGTTAGACTATTTCTCTGAAAAATTACTCACAATAAGCTTATTACCAACCTTGAAAGGCATAAACAAGGTATGACTAATTCTCTCCTTTGTGAAAGATGTGGTAAGGATAATGAATCTGTCATTCATATTGTTAAAGATTGCTATTATGCCAAAATGTTTGGGATCACTTTATTTGTCCTCAAATTTTGGTCCTCTTCTTTAGTATACGAATTGTTAATTGGTTAATTTTTTATTTATCTAACCAGAATCATAGTATTTTTCCTAAGTGGGGTAGCTTATTTGGGATTATTGCTTGGTATACTTGGAAAAAAAGAAACAATTTTATTTTTAATCATGTTTCTACTCAGCCTTTGGCTCTTATTCACATAGTGTTATTTGATTTTCAATTCCAATTTAATTACTGCTGGAATGTGGCTTACTCTTTTGTTAAGTAGGTATCTAATATTTTTTTGGTTAAATGGGTCTCATCTCCTACTAATTAGTGAAAACTTAATGTGGATGGTGCTGTTTTGCGAAAAGATGGCATTGCTGCTTATGGAGGCTTAATTAGAAATGACTATGGGCAATTTTTGGCTGGTTTTTGCAAAGGCATACATCTCTGCTCTCCTTTGGAAGCTAAACTTTGGAGCATTCTTTTTGGATTAGAGCTCATGGTCTAGAAGGGACTGAACACCATTTAAGTTGATAATGATTTTAAAATAAATTTATCCCTTGTCCTTAATGTGCAAAATCTTGCTCATCTTTTGTATGATCTAATTAGTAGGATTAGAAATATTCTCAAACATATTCAATTCATTAGGTTTGGGCATGTATTAAGGGAAGCCAATTAGTGTGTTGATAATTTAGCCAAATTAGGACTTTGAAAGTTACTTGTCTTCTTCTTGTATTGCCACTCCTCCCTTTACTCTTTTTTTCTTTCTTTGTATAGATTCTTTAGGTGTTCCTTAGATTGGGACCTTGATTTGTTTCTATTTGTTTGGGCTTTTTAGCCTCTTTAAATATTAAAAAAAATTGATGGTGAAGACTAACATTTCCTAGTCCTTGTGTTGTGATTGCTTGAACACAATGACCAAATGTTTTATGTTGAAATATCGGTGAGGGAAAGAACACAAATAAGATGGTGAAGCATTTTATGATACTAAAATTAGAAAGATGCTTTTAATTTTCTAAAATTACAAAATTTTTATTTAATTAATAAAATATAAATAAAATATTAATTAATAAATATAACATTTTTTAATTAATCAAGGAATAAAATAAATAAATATTAAGAAAAATTAGAAAACAAAAATTATTAAATCAATAATTATTAAATAAATGATACAAATTAAGGATGATAATGGGTAAAGTACCTGATAGTCATCCGCAAAATTTATCCACAGTGGATAAGGTATTTACTCTCTATGCAGGTATGAGTGTGGGTAAAAATCCACAAATTTTAATGGGGATAGGTGCATGTATGAGTATCTAAGTACTCACCCTGCCCCATACTCGCATATATACTTAAACTTTATTTTACAACTATGTATTGAATTTTTATATTATTATATTACTTATGTGAAGTTATATAAGATTAATATAAAAATATATTTAATAACAAAGTAAACCAAAAAATTATTTTCATTTATATTTTTAATGGAAAATTTTATTTACTATTTTATATCATTTAATTAGGCTAATACAATTTAATATTTTTTACACAAATATTTTTGTTAATAAAATCATATTGATATTTAAATCATAAAGTGAATGATAAATAATAAACATATTGTAAATATTTTATAAATTTTATAATCATTTACTATTACCATAAACTTATTATTTATTGATATATTTAAATTTTATTTTTTATATTTTAATTTAAAACAATATTTTTCTATGCAACATATATATTATA